GGGGGTGCCACGGCGGTCGTGGCGACGACGTCGGAGGTGACAGTAGAGGTTTCAGTGCTCTGAGTTGGGTCATTAGTGATGATAAGAGACGAGCGGGGACAACAACATACGAGGTCCTCGACGGTCGTGGTGGCGGTGGTAGACTCGACCACAGTGATAGTCGGTGTGGTAGCCGAGGAGAGAATGCAGCTGCATGCCCTGCTAATCTTCTCGTCGGTGGGTCCGCATTTCTCGACGATGACATCCGAAGGGAGAACTGGAGATGCTGTCTGAGTCCGCTTTTGGAAGATGGTGGTGGGGGAGCCCTCGGTCCTACATGTACTTGGTGAGTCCTACATCTGACTTCAAGTGAGAATACATACGTGGTGACAGTAGACGTCGTGACAGTAAGCGTCGTCACGCTTGTCTCAGTGCTAGCAACCGTCGTGGTCTCCGTCATGGCCTCGGTGGCCGTCGTCGTGGCCGGTTCAAGGGAAAGGAATGCCGAGCAAAACGCCTCTCCGATCTCGCGGTCCGCAATAAGAGCGTCGCGACACTGCCGGGTACCGCAGCGGGCGGTGCATTCTGCGGTAGCCAAGCCGGCCAGCACGCCGGACGTCAAAAAGAGAATCCCCTTCATCTTTATGGTAAACGAGTGTGTGCAAACGAGCGTGTGGGTTCTGAAGGAGTGACAGAGCTTGAGGAAAAGAATCTCGAGAAGGAAAATCCGGGTCGGTCGTGCAATACATATCAACACTTGCCCCTTTCCCATGGCTCCGCTTTACACTCAGGATGCAGTGGATTCTCGTGGCGGTGGAGCGGGCGCTTGAATCCAACGGATCGCACTATTGACTTCAATGTTGCATGGGGTCCGGCCTGGCCAGACCTGCATCAATTTCCCGCTCCACGGGCATTTTCACAGTGCGTTGATAAACTTCTTTGCATTCTTGCAACCGAGGCGTTGATGGTTCTCGGTTTACGACAGCAAGTTCACTGTCGAGGATTCATCCAAGAATCATTCATGCTTGAGTACAATGTAGTCCAATTTGGTGTAACTCTGAATGCCCAAAAACAAGCTCGTGGAGTCGTGACATCAACATCGGGGTCCCCGTTTGCAAGGGTCCACTTCCTTCCAAGGTGCTGGATTTCTGGAAGCAGGGGAGGAGGTTTTGATCCGCTTTCTCGGTCCATCGGCACCGACCCACTGGACTGGCATGGGACCCACGAGCTGAAAGTCTCGACCTGGAGACCGCCCGTCTTGGCAACTCCCAACGGCTGAAACATTGGTCCGAATGTCGTTAGCTTGGGATAACAAGCAAGGAGACCAGGCAGCTGAAGATAAAGGGCTGGCGCGAACCACAAACAACCAAAGTTGCATTCCACACCGCTCTTGAGCAAGGTATCTCGGGTTATGCGTACATCTGTCTACACACAAATACATAACCACCGCGCCAAAACAAAACACCCAGCGCCCGAAACTTCCCCTCAATAGTTTACGTGAACCGCTCTCTTTCCCCCTTTCCCTCCCGCGCCCGTCGATGCGCCGCAGTACCCAGCCTTGGTGACCCAGTTGACCATGGGCGTCCCCATGCACTTGGCACATTTGCAGAACTTCCAAATCAGTCATGTTGCTCTCAACGTAAATCATCCAATGAACTCACCTTGGCCTTTTTCTCGGCATCACTCCCGTTGATGCACGTGAACGTCTGCGTGTTCCACCGGTACTGGTTATAGCACGCAACTGGCTGTATGACCTCGTAGCACTCGGGGCTCTCGAGGACGTCCTCGGTGCAGTCGAGCATCTGGCCGACGGCCACAGCGACCCATACGGCCACAAGCGCTGCTGACAACTTCATCTTTGTGCGTATTGTCTAAGAAGCAAGAACAAAAAAGAAATCCAGGTTTCTCGACTGCCGGGATGGGGCTCTGCAGGTAGGTAATCGGCAGACGTAAATAGTCGGTGGGAAAGAATCGACCGAGTATTTCTGTGGGCTCGAGAGGGGGGGGCAGACAGGCCAGAACAGACAAAAGACTCGGGTCAGATATACCGAATCGGCCTTGTTAACGGCTACTATAGCATACTAGGCGGCTGGTGCGTGTCGATATTGGCCCGGGTTGCGTCACGGCCAATCGGCTGTATTGCGTTGTTGATTGGGGGTTATATCCCCCCCAGATGCGGGGGTGGAGGTTATATCATGTCCGTATAATGACAACCAATTGTCTTTGAGGAAACGTAGCAGTCCGCATTTATTCCAACGTTCGAGAACAAATCCCGAATGCTTCTCTGGCCCTGATCACATGCCGTCCCCCCATTTTAGTATACCCGGCTTGCAAATGAGTCGAGGGCGGTGATGGCTCGCCACTCGGCAGAGTATGATAGCGGACTCTGATGAAGACCGGGCTTGCACTACCTGCCTACCTGGGAATGTAGGCTAACTATTTTTGTCCAGAGTAGATCTTCCATTCTTTGCTGAATCGTTGTACTTCATACGTGATGCTCGGAGGACAGAGAATGCTGCTTGCAGGTTTGAGACTCCTTGCTGATTATCCAGGATCTAAACCGCAATCGAAACTTCCTCCCCGGAATGCAAAACGGCCGGCTTTTGCTTGTTAGATGCTTAGCTTACCTCGACAGCTGTCAACGAATCGGAACAATTAGCGGCAAGGTAGGTATCCATCCCTAAGTGCTTACTATTTACACATCTCTCCATCCCCCCGAGTAGTAGTACTATCCCGGATGGACGCCCCCAGTATTTTCCAGAAGAATAACTTTCATCTGTCAAAGCTGTTATCTCGTGGAATGCCGGTCCCTGTCCTGCATGCCAACGTCGGTAAAGGCACGGCGCGCACCTGACAGGTTATTTTGCCAGGCTGGCTGCGGCGAGCATATTACCCGCAATCAGCAAGCAGCGCCGGTTGGGTATACCGAAATATCCTCCGATATTGCGCGTGGTACTCCCGCCAAGTTAGCATTAATACCCTACTAACTATGACAGCACGGCGCCTACGGCAGTTGTGGTCGACGGGGTAGCCGACCATGGTACGCTCTGCGGTCTCGTCGTAGTAATTATACCCGGCCCCTTCCCCTGAGCCCCTCCCGGGCGAGACTCTGGGCTTTGAAGTTTGCTTTTGGGTAGCATTCGATTCTCTCGTCGTCTCAATCGTCACATTCTCGGGCCTGTCAACAACGGAGACAAAGACAAGATGCATCAGAAGAGTGTCGTCGCCGCGGCCCTCGGGCTAGCGTCGCCCGCTAGTGCCCTTCTTCGCTTTGGATGTTCGCAGCTCACACTCCAGCGGTTGGATCCCCTCGTCAACCCGGGGCAGGCGCCTTCCACCCATCTTCATCAGATTATCGGCGGTGTACGTACTTGGCAAGGGCAAAACTTGAAACAAAATATTGATGTTGTAAACAGAACGCCTTCAACGTGACGATGGACCCCAACACGCTCGACATCCCGAAGGCGGCGACGTGCACAACCTGCTCGTTCAGCGAGGACTTCTCCAACTACTGGACGGCCACCATCTTCTTCCGCGCGCGCAACGGCTCCTTGACCCGCGTCCCGCAGAAGCCGCAGCAGGGTTTCGAGGGCAGCAACGGCGGCGGCATGGTGGTCTACTACATGTCGGACGCTTTGTTCGACACGGCGCAAAAGTCCAAGGTCACGGCCTTCAAGCCCGGCTTCCGCATGCTGCTCGGCGACGCGGCGGCGACCGACTTCTCGGCCTCCAAGAAATACCGCCAGCTCTCGTACACGTGCATGGCGAGCGAGGCGACGCGCAACAACGACACGCCCTACTTCCCCAAGTCGCCCTGCCCGCACGGCATCATGATCAACCACTACTTCCCGACCTGCTGGGACGGCAAGAACCTCGACTCGCCCGACCACCGCTCGCACATGTCGTACCCCGTCGACGGCACCTTCGAGTCGGGCGCGCCGTGTCCGGCCACGCACCCCGTCAAGGTGCCGCAGATTTTGCTGGAGACCGTCTGGGACACGAGCAAGTTCAACAACAAGGCCGACTGGCCCGTCGAGACGGACAAGCAGCCGTTCCTGTGGTCGACGGGCGACACCACGGGGTACGCGTCGCACGCCGACTACGTGTTCGGGTGGAAGGACGACTCGCTGCAGCGCGCCATGGATAAGCACGCCTATGTTACCGGGTCCGGGCTCAAGACGCAGAGCATCGCGCAGCAGAACAAGTGCTCCGTTCCCGACTATGTCAAGGAGAATCTGAATGGCTGTAAGTTTTGTGTTCCCTTCCCCCTGCAAAAGATGATGTGATGGTTGCTGACGCATGGATGGCAGGGATGGACAAGCTCCCGGGAGGTATGAGTCCGATGTAAGCGCCCAGTTGGTATGGACCGGATTGAGGAGGTGTCGACGAGGAGAGGCATTGATTGGACGTACCTTGGCTTGCAAGGCTGAAGTGGATGCTATAGCGAATTGTAGTTCTTTATGTTAAGGCACATGCACAATCAAATAGTCGCGCCCTTTGGTGACGAGAGAGTGGCGAGGTGGTTACACGGTTCTGACACGAGATGGCTTTGCTCTCTAACTCCGGGGCTGGGCTTATTGCATCATGATTCAGCTATTGGGACGAGCCTCGACAGTGACGCCGATGCACTCCATTACCCGACGATAACTGCTTCCGCATGTTGTAATTTCACACCATAATACGGCGACGATTTGAACCGCTCCAAGCGTAAGCATCGGCTTATCGGTACTTGTATCTGTGTTGATTACGCGTGTAAGACTCACGAAACGACGGGTGCACTCTGCCAAAGTGGAGGAGCCCCCAGCGACGACGCTGGTTCCTACAATGGAACCCATGCTGATACCGAGATCGAGCTTGACTTATTGTCGCACAGAAGCAGATTCGCCGGGCCGAGCCAGGAGATATGCACCATACGGCTGTGTACCTGATACACACTCACCCCGGTACAGCCCGGAGATCTGTTTTCATAGAGGAAACAGAATCAAAAATATGATATGTTATACAAGACGAGGAAAAAAGTGTGTCAGAACCGGGGTTCGAACCCGGGTCCCTCACTATTCAGCACGAGTTGGGAAGCGAGGATTCTAACCACTAAACTATTCTGACTTCCATTCACATCGTCACGGTATGTGTAATCTCTACATTATATTCGAGAACTAGCACCCTGAAACCCGACCCCGATCTATATGGTATTCGGAACGTCCAACAAGGATTGCACGCGAGACGCATACCCGGGTGTTGAAACAATCTGTCTTTCAATACGCGGCAAGTCTCCCTGAAAATATTACACTGGCTTTGACCGCTAGTAATCGGTTGTGAATGACACACAGAGATCGCCAGAGAATGGGCGGCCAATACTCGTATGGAATGACCAACGATACTAGGAGTCGAAAATCAGAAGGAGCCAACCGCTTTCAGGTCGGTTGACTCGCGTTGTCCGGTAGGCTTTGGAAAGGGCTGAGTGTCTTCTGACAGCACAGCTAAGGAGTTCTAAGTCAGATTTCGGGACCTTTTGCACTAACGTTCTTGAGCCATGTGAGATATGTACCTTAAAGTCGACAAGTGACTCGACACAGCGATCATCGGCGATGGGTCGAGTATCGTGAGCCAGGGGCCGTGTTCTTTTGGATGTACGGCTTGTTGTTGCCTGCCCTGCGGCGTATCGCGCAGTTGCAAATGCCCCTGACATTGCGGGCATTCCAGCCTCAAAGCTGGAGGATGTCTTGAGGCATCTGATGGAAAGCTCTGTAAAGAACCCCGTAGCAATACGCGGTCTGCAGCCTTGGTTGGAGCAAAGTGCGAGTCGACAGTGGTAATCCTTCTGCACATAGATGTCTAATGCAAAGCCCCCTCGTTTCGTGCGGGAAAAAAGGACATTTTTACTCTTACGCTTCAGATACGACACCTCGACTGACGAGCCTTCGACCAAGCTGTTCTGAGTGCGGAGGTAAAGAGACCACGAGTTTCTTCCACATTCGGGAAGTTTGGGCCAATTGTACCGGCGTATTCGGTATATACGAGCAGATCCGCTCGGTCTGAAAACAAGTTCTCAAAACTTATCATCCGAGGTGGTGGATCCCAAGCCTGAGACGTACTTGTTGTCTAGGCCAATACGCCCTGTAGCGTATTCACGGCAAATTCCGACAGTCATGGCACCTATTTGGTGCCGAATGAAGAATAAGAATCATGATTATATATTCCCGCCCGGATGGACTTGACGCAGTCTTGGCGTTAACTCCGACATCGCATTTGTCATCGAAGTCGGACCCGCTCCGTGAGCCAGCCGCGCCCGATGATACACGGAATCGGCGCCCGCTGAGTGGTGGGGGACAGCCTCGACCACGCGAGGGTGTGGTGCGATTTGGGCTGGTTGGATCGCCGATCCCGCTAACCGGAACTTGCAGCTCTCCTCCGCTCCCAGCAGAAATGGCTTGCAGACCGCCGTCCGACGGCGGGCGGTTGACCCGAGCTAATGTACGCGTCGTCTGCAGCCCAGACATTTGTCTTTGCTTGCCGACAAGAGGAGGTTCAGACGACTTGATATACGTCAACTTTGCTAGAAACATACAAACCGTGGGCAAACACATTCGAAGGGAAATCGGGAGGAGATAACAACTCAGATCCGTAATGGCCGGATGGCTTTGTGACGCCAAAAAGAATGCAAAGGAATGCATGGGGTCGGAGTTGGCGAGGGTTATCTCCGGGGCCGGCAAAAGCGGCAAGAGGATTCCGGGTCCATGCCATGTTGCGTGCTTCGCTTCGCGAAAAGCACAGGTGGAAAGGTTCCGCGTGTTTGGGATTCCGCCCTCTGTGACTCCTTCTGTTGACAAACTGGAAACCACTCGGAATCTTTTTATTCTTTTTGCTCCTTTTTTCCCCCTTCGGTCAAAGACATATAGAGGTCGCTCTTTCCTTCTTAGCGCACTTGGCAGCATCGTGTCTTCCCCTGGCGCTAGTCAACTAAATACCGGCAGGAACGACACACCGCACCTTCCCAGGACCCAGGTTCTCGGAATGAGGGGTTGCCTCTGCTTCTGCTCCTGCTGCTGAAAATTTCTACCTCCACCGCCCAACCTAACACTCTGGACAGACAACCCGGTCTGATGGACAAGGAAGTCAACGAAAAGTCGGAAGCCGAGCGCCGGTCGTCGTTTTCCGGGTCGTTGTCGCACTCGGAAGGCGGAACCGTTGTCGGCGGCGACCGAGACCCGGGCGCCAAGGAACGCCACCACGGCGAAGATGCCGATCTCGAGATCGAGGCCGTCGTCTCGGGCCATTCGCTGGACCTCGAGCTGGGAAAGGTAGGTTCCACTTCCACACCTACACACGTTCGACACAGCTGATCAATACCGGGTAGTCGGACAACGCAGATGCGCTTGCACGCGTTGAGAGTCGGGGGAGCGTGCGAAGCCGAGTCTCTCGGGTCTTGAGTCGGCGGAAGAGCAAGGCGAGCGAGCGGGAAAGGATCCCGGTCGCGCCGATCCCGACAACCAATCTGGATGCTGGCATCATCGGGTGGGAGGACCAAGACGACCCGGAGATGCCCCTCAACTTCAGCACGCCTCGCAAGTGGCTGATTGTGGGCCTGGTGTCGGCCATCACCTTCATCACGCCGTTTGCTTCGACGATCCTGGCGCCCGGCATCTCAGCGCTTGACGCCGAGTTTGGAAACGAAAACGAGATCCTAGGTGCCATGACTGTCAGCATCTATCTGCTTGGTTACGTTGTCGGCCCTCTGTTCCTCGCTCCCTTGAGCGAGATCTACGGCCGCCGAGTCATCCTCTCCGCTACCAACGTCTTCTTTTGTCTCTGGCAGATCGGTTGTGCTCTAGCGCCTTCGATCTCATCGTTGATCGTCTTTCGGTTCTTCAGCGGAATTGGCGGGTCTGGATGTCTGGTATGTTCGACCTTTGCAACATGTCTACATAATATGAGGCTGACTTGAGTAGACGTTAGGAGCGGGTATTATAGCCGACGTCTTCCAAACCGACGAAAGAGGATTTGCCATGGGCATTTATACCGTTGGACCATTGATTGGTTAGCCGAGGCCCGACGTCTTACATCCCACATTGCTGACGCTGTTTATAGGTCCGACGGCCGGCCCTCTTATCGGCGGCTTCCTCTCGCAGACGATTGGATGGCGATGGGACTTTTGGATCGTCTTCATTGTGTCAGTCGTGATTGTCGGACTGACCGAAATCTTTGCACGAGAGACGCACGCGCGCACCCTCATACGGCGCAAGGTGAAGCGGCTTCGCGCCGAGTTGGGCCGCGACGACCTGCGCAGCTGTTATGATCCGGAGCCGACATCCGACGTGGCCCCTCTGAGCCATAAACGCATCCTGCTGAATGGTCTCATCCGGCCAACGAAAATGCTCTTCCTTTCACCGATCGTGCTGTTCTTGTCGATCTACATCGCCTTCACCTACGGTGTCCTATACCTTCTCTTCACGACCATCCCCGTTGTGTTCCACGAGACTTACGGCTGGGGTGTCGGCCTCACCGGACTGGTCTATATCGCGTTGGGCATCGCCAACTTCGCCGGCTGGGCAGTCACCACGGCCTACTCGGACCGCAACGTTGTGCGCCTGACGCGCGCTAACAAAGGCGTGTTCGAGCCCGAGATGCGGCTGCCGCTTTGCATCTACTTCGGCATGTGTTTGCCGGTTACCTTTTTCTGGTATGGCTGGTCTGCCATGGCTAAAACACATTGGATCGTTCCTATCCTAGGATTGATGCCCTTCTCGTTTGGTATCATCGGCATCTACCTGCCTATCGTGACATATCTTGTCGACGCTTACCCGGTGTATGCAGCGTCGGCCATCGCCGCGAACACGGTGCTGCGGAGTTTGGTGGGCATGCTGTTGCCGTTGGCAGGGCCACCCATGTACGAGACGCTGGGGCTGGGCTGGGGGAATTCACTTCTGGGGTTTATCTGCATTGCCATGATACCGGTGCCGACATTGATATACCGGTACGGAAAGAGATTGAGGAGTATGGGTTTGCAGTTGTAACTGTTCTCGGAGGATTTCCTGCGTATGTCGGGACGGCCAAGTAAAAGCAGCATGATTTGCATACGGGTTCGGTTGCGTATATATACCTTACATAATAGATCTCGCAAGATTGGTATTTCTCGAGGTGTATGTGGGGGGAACTGGTAGTTAGTGATTAATTGACTGTGTTCAGCATAAGTATCAGATGGAAGCTAGATGGAGTTCGCTGACTACCAAAGTCGCTATAGAGCAACTATTAGTTGCAGCTGGTCGACACTAAAGCTACTGTAAAAGTCTGTGAGTCTGAAGTCTGCATCAAAACACAAGATAGGGTTCGCTGCAACAGAATCTGATACTATGGAAACAATGCGAGTTTAAACGGTGCTCAAAAATACAGCTGGCATTTGGCTGTTAATGAAACAGATCTTCATCTAGCTAGTCCGCGACCCGTTGACAACTGACAAAAGGGGATTGCTGTTTCATCCCGGATGAAAATCAAGAAACTTCAAGCCATATTACTTCATGGCAAACAACCTCCGCATAAATCGTGATGTCGACCGCCTGTTCGGGTTCTCCGGTATATGTATGGGCCGAACAGCTGGTTGCACAGGATGAATCACTGGTTGAACAGGGCAGGCAGTGCGAATGGTAGCCTGTAGTCCGTCGGTCACAATATCGTCCGTGGCTGTTGTCGATCGCGGCTGATTTCCAGCCGCACACGCCTGATGAATCTCGGCGTACTTGGCTTTACGTTCAGCAATGACCGTGCGAATATCTTCACCATTAACCTCGGCGTAATTGGTCTTACGTTTAGCCATGATCGTGCGAATATCTTCACCTAGCGCGCCGTATTCGTCCATCATGAATAGCCAAGACCCACAGCACTGCTCAGAGAGCATGGCTAATTCCTCCACCTGGGTGCATGTGTGGCCTGGTCTCCAGTACTCAGGATCGGATGGCGCAGTTTTCGCCTGCGCGAGTAAGGCCCGGCCAATGGTGACATCGGCACTCCAGCCTGGCTGACAGCGCCGTTGCAGTAAGTCGTCAATGTGGTCCAAGGCAAAGAACTCCTTAACGGTACGGTGGAGGAAACTGACCGTCCATGAGAAAAAG